AGGTAGAGAAATGTAGCAATAGCTAAAAAGGAGACAGTTTAATACTAGGGCTCAAGATGGCACTTCAAGGTTAGCAGAAGATCATTTCCCATCAAAACAGCAGAATCAAATCTCATGAGTAAGGGGAGAAGGCTTTAGGGACCATGTCTAACCCAATTAGCAAAATCCCTGTTACTTCTTTTCTGAGACAGCTGCATGGCTGAGTGAGGAAGGGTCCTGAATCAGTGTGGCTTAATGGGGAGGAGAAAGGAAGGACATCATAAAATAGAAAGTATTCATAAGAGCAATAGCAATATTCTAACAAAAATGCCTAGTATAAAATAAAAGAAAATAAACAGGAATAGTGTTTTTTTTAATTTATTTTTTTTTACTGTCATGTTCTTTAGAAATAAAATTTCTAAAGAAAATGACAGGCCCATTCCTTACAGCCTATTTATCCACTGGGGTGGATCTCTATAGACAACCCAAGGGTGATTATACTCCAACCTCATTGTAAGGTAACAAATATAGTTCAAAGGGAAGAGAAAAAAAAGATTGGGTTAAAGCTTCTATCGTTTTAAACAGATCTACAGTAGATTAGAAATACTGACTCATTTTATTACCCTTAGGGCAGAGTTTCTAATTTTGGCACTACTGACATCTGGGAGTACTAAATCTTTGTCACGAGGGGCTGTCCACTTTAAAACGTTCAGCAGCATCTCTATCCCCTTTCCCCCCATACTAGTTGCTAGTTGTGGCTACCAAAAATGTCTCCAGACATTGCCACATGTCCCCTGAGGACAAATGGCTCCAGTTGAGAATCACTACCTTAGGGTTAGGGTCTTCTGGATACAGTGTCTCAGGTTACTTTCACAGACATTTTAAACCCAGTGGTTGTAACACAGTATTATTCAAATTGTGGGCTGGACATCATTAGAGGTCATATAATCCATTTTCTTGTTTGTGACATTTAAAGAAATCTAAACGGCCTGGGGGTGCACTGTTACAGTGCGCCACTTGGGAGCACAGCAGCGCTCCCACCGAGGGTTCGGATCCCACATACAGACCGTCGGCTCACTGGCTGAGCGAGGTGCGGGCGCAACACCAAGGGTTGCGATCCCGTTGCCGGTTCCGGTCCGGTATGGGTGCGACACTGAGGGTTGCGATCCGTTGCCGGTCACGAAAAAAGACAAAAAAAAAGGAAAAAATAAAAAATAAAAATAAAAAAATAAAGAAATCTAAATAGAAATAGATTAGAATACAAAATATAAAAGCGAGGATGTGGAGAAAGAGGGACCAATCTGCACTGTTGGTGGGACTGAAAATTGGTATAGCCATTATGGAGAACAGAAAAGAGGTTCCTCAAACAACTACAGACAGAACTACCATATGATACAGCAATCCCACTACTGGGGATATATCCAGAGGATTGGAAATCATCATGTTGAAGGGATAGCTTCACTCTCATGTTCTATTTACAATAGCCACGTGATGGAACCAACCTAAATGTCCATTAAAGGATGACTGGATAAGGAAAATGTGGTATATATACACAATGGAATACTACTGAGCCATAAAAAGAATGAAATTCTGTCAGTTGCAGAAACATGGATGAGCTTGGAGAAAATTATACTAAGTGAAACAACCCAGGTGCAGAAAGAGAAACACCACATGTTCTCACTCACAAGTGGGAGCTGAATCTATAAATAAACAAACAATAAAAAGAGAGAGAGAAAGAAAGAAACAACAATCACAATAATAACTGAACTTTCAGAAGGACAGAAAAGAACTGTGGTTACTAGAGGTAGAAAAGGGGAGTGGAGTGGGAGAGGGAGCGAGATTAAAAAGAAATTGGTTAAGGGACACAAAGAAGATTACATGCTGTAATGAGGAATAAGGTAACTATTCTGATCTAACCATCACACATTGTACACAACAACTGAAAATCAACTTTGCACCCCACATATATGTATAATAAACTATCTTAAAAAAAA